TATGTAGGCTAATTAATTACTGTAAATAATTGATGTCAGTTTCATATTTTATGTATTTATTTGACCTATTTTTTATGATTAATATTGGTGCAAACTGTGTTTATCTTTGCTTTGTGTCACTGTTTATACTCTTTGTGTATTTTAAACATAAAACAAAAAAAGAACCTGGGAGAAAAAAAAGAATAAATTATGGCATAGTGTTTTTTTTTTTTTTAACTAATGTTTACTGTTCAAATATAAGACAATAAGTATTTGGACATTTTTGGTTGCCAGATATTAGTGTAACATTTCCATAGTTACAGAACACCTGTGTGAACTTGAAAGGAAATGATTCATACATCCACAAACAAAATATCAGCTTGAGACCAGTTGGTTAGAAGTATTATAGATTCGTTTGTTTAAAAAAGTACATAATTATTTTTGTGTACATAATTATTGCATTGTTTGACATTTTGTTATCTAACACTTAAAAATTCAGACATTTTTAAGTGTGATTTAAATGCCAACATTTTATATTTTTTTAATTAACCACAAATAATTGTCTGAAAATGCAAATGCTAACCAAAATAAAGGAACAAATAAAACCAATAACTGCTGAAATGAATTCTCAACCTCATCTTTCAACCCCAAATTCTTTCACATTTCACAAATGTCAATCAAAACCAGCATCAGCACCAGAAGAGCTGAGAGGAAGTGAGTTGACCACGTCTCGGTTAATCATTAGCAGCCTTTTGTCTTTTCGCTAAATCCAACAGCATGCCTTACACTCTTTCATCAGCCCGGTTCAGTCAGCCCAATTGTTTTAATATGAACTTCCTCAAGTGTTTTCATTAAGTGGAGACTAGCCCCCTGCTATCCAAGCTGCCTCACCCCCTCAGAATATCTCCACCTCCAAAGACCCGAAGAGTCTTTCTTAATCAAATGTACATTTACTAGTCGCTTGACTTGAGACATCTGCCCCAAGCAACCAGTCAATATTGTGGCCCCAGTTCAAAGCAGTCAGTTCATTAGCTGTGTCAGCTTTACAACCAGAAGGTAATGGGTTTGAAAGTGAGCAACGACAATGCGCCGCAATGCAGGCCTCATTTAATAGTGATTTATCACCAGCCAAAAGCCCTGTTTAACCTTTGGCCAGTGCAGACCTCCCTTCCTCTCTCAAAGGATCTATTGTCAGCTCCCCAGGGCATCTTACTGTGTGAATAAGGAAAAGATGATCTAGTTAAAAGTCACATCACTAGTCATATCATTACAAGTGCAGCAGAACACTTAGTTGTGCAGATAGCATTTCAAATGGTTCATTTTCTGTTATGTAACGGATAATATTTCAGCATAAGCGAGGAGATAAATGTCTGTTTTTGATGTATTCATTTTATATCATATCATATATTGATACAATATCACTGTGCTTGTTGTGACTCTCTTCTATAACTATTCTACATTTTATTTTAAGAAAAAAAAATTAAAAACACTTATTTATCAAAATCCATTCTGTAAACTACTATTAAAGAGATATAAAAAGAAAACTCTGCCATCATTTACTCATGATCTCATGTCGTTCCAAATTTGTATCGCTCCACAGAAGAAAGTATCTTTTTTTTTTTTTTTCTGTGCAGTGAAAGTCAATAGGGTCCAATGTTGTTTGGACTTTACTGTTCAATAATAATGGCAGAATGTTCATTGGTTCAGAGATCATGACATTATTTTCAGTTATTTTGACACTCAACAAACAGGAAAATCTTAGCTAAGATTAAGTTTGAAATATAGTCACTTGTGACGCCCAAAAAAACCTAAAAAGATTCTTTAAAAAAAATACAAAAGTACAAAACATGTAGTAAAACGACTCAAAACTAATACAATTTTGGCTTTCGTAGGATATTAGGCCTAAAAAGATGCCAACAGTTTTCACTGTTAGGTCAATTATACCTTTAACAGATCACAACCTCATGTTCAGCCGTTTTGACAATCAACAAATGAGCAAATCATAGCTAAGACTGAGTGTGAAATATAGAGGTTTAATATGCCCAAAAATGCCTAAAAAGATGCTATTAAAATTTGTCAAAGTAAAAAGCTCTTGGGTGCTATTATGGCATTTTAGCGACAGAAGCATCAGGTTGAGCATGTGCGGTTATTTTCTAGTGATCTAATGCAGTTAGGGCCTGTTAAGTAGCTTAATGACAGGAGGACAATACGGATGCTTGGTGTGGTCTATATGGAGCGCATAGGACTTTGACGGCACCCTCTGCACTTTATTAACCACACGTCTCACCAGCGCTTAGTAAACTGGTTTGTTAACAAAGCTCTGGCAGGAAGAAGAAAAAAAAGGGGGTCGGCGTTGAAAATGTGAACAGTTGGTGCGATGTAAAGACACTGTTTTCTGCGGAGAGCCTGATAGCGCATCCCCCCCCCAATCTGCCTTACCTCCCTCCATGCCTTCACAGTCTACGCCCCTCCGCCCCATCCTTACAAGCCATGGCTTAGTCACACCAGCTGCCTGGACCATTCTTCACTGGTTGAGCTGCCCCCTGTCAGGACCAGAAGCCCCAGTACTCTATCCCTATGGCTAAAGAGAAAGAAGCAGACGGGTTAAGTAGGTCTTGAGATGAAGTGATAACAACAGTCAAAACAATGCACATATTGAGACTATAAAACACAGAGAGCAGTACCAAGGCTCTCTCACGACCAATTTTGTACATATTTTACGTTGTGGCTACAAATTCGTATGACCATATTCAATTAGCCACCTCATAAAATATGTATGAATTGCTGCGAGATCGGGTTGGCAGTACTGACTAGTCAGGAAGACTAGTTAACAGCTGCTTTGGTTTGTGTGAGCTATTCAACCTGATGTCATTTGGAGAAATATTATGGAAAAGGAGAATTTAGACAATATACTTTAGAGATAAGCACCAACAAAAAAAGCTGTTTTTACATTTTACAGTTTTTATGTATAAAACACTTTCACATTAGAACATTTAATGTATAATTATATATTATAGCTATATATTTTGTGTTTAAATATTTTGTTATAATATTAAATTATTATATTCAGTTATATTGAACATAAGCTAATACAATAAAATTAATATTAGATATCATTTCAGTACATACATATTTTAATATAAACACAAAATAAATATGTTTAATATCTTGGCTTTTTAGGTAATATTTTCGTTGGCAAAATTGAACAAAAACACACATTATTGTGTTTAAAATATAGCACAATATTAACTTCTTATTTACTGAACTGTTGTATAAAATCACATTTGCACTTGTGTTCTTCATGACAAAAACAGCACTCCTGTGATATTGCTCTAGTTGCTGGTGTGATATGCTTATCATCATATGATATAAATATGAGAAAAACTCAAAACTCAAATAGGGGCATTTCTTTGCCCCAATATCTTGAATTTTAGGGCATAACTGCATTTATAGAGTTGTTGCCCTGCATCATATTTGTCAACAGTCAACTCAACTATATGAAATGTAAGATGACATGTAGGTTTGGGGGCGGGGCCAGTGCGTTAACTGCGTTAAAATATATTAATCGCGGTATTTTTTTATAACTAATTAAGTTAACACGTTAAACTGACAGCCCTACTATATATGTATATATATATATATAGTAGGGCTGTCAGTTTAACGTGTTAATTTATAATATTTTAAAAAAAATAATATTTAAATTTTATATATATATTATTATTCAAATATGAATAAATAAAAATATATTTAAATAGGCTACATATTTCATATTTTGGATTGTTCGATAAATATATGTTAATTAGTGCTGTCAAACGATTAATCGGATCCAAAATAAGTTTTTGTTTACATAATATATGTGTGTGTACTGTGTATATTTATTTTGTATATATAAATACACACACATGCATGTATATATTTATATTTATATTACAGATAAATATATTTAATATATAAACATAACATATTTTTCTTAAATATATACATGTATGTGTGTGTATTTATATAGACATAATAAATATACACAGTACACACACATATTTTATGTAAACAAAAACTTTTATTTTGGATGTGATTAATCGCGATTTAACACTAATGTTAATACAATACAAAATATTATTGTATAAATATTTCATAAATATTAAACATATTTTACAAGGTTTTCTTTTATCCTCATTCTTTTGCTTTTAGAGTAAACATTATATAATATATAAACATTATATGAAATATAATAAAACTATTTAAGATATTTATTATATTATATTATTATAATCACATTGCAATATTAGATCTAATCTGTGCTGATCAGAATTCCAGTACAGATGTTCAGTCAGCTGTAACCTAAAACTAACCAACCAAAGCAAAAAGAAAGAAAGAAAAAACACAATGCAGGCAAAATGAACTCCATTTAGAGCCTTACAAGAATCCTTTTCTACCCTGACAGAATTTGTTACATTTCAATTTTCTTTGAAGTAGTTTTCGGCACATTTGATGGCGAGCTTCGAAAGCACCGCATTATCGGCGCAAGAATGGGGCTTTTCAAGGTGTTTATGGATTTCAAAGATCTCTCTCTTGTAGAGCACAGATTGTGTGGTCTGACTGGGTCATTCCCTCAAGAGTCACTTGAAAAATCCACAGTATTTGGTCTAACTCCCGATACTATGTGCGAGCCATGCTAAGACTTCAAGGCATTTGCTTTGTAGCGGAATCTGCTTAGGTTTAGTAAGCATAAAGAAGTCCTCGCGCACACGTATGCACCCTTTCCACAAAAACGTTCCCGAGTGGTAAAATTGAGGAACGGAGCGACCCATCCACTAAGTAAACAGAATGAACTAATGGATCAGCCATCTTCTCCTCCCATTCCAATTATCCAGAGCCATGTTAAGAATATGGCCACGTTGGTAAACGCTGATGCTAATACAGATAATCCCTTACATATACATATCACATTCAGACCGGTCACTTAGCCACCGAACCACCCAAGCAGTCAGAGTGCAGGAGTTGAGACCGCCAACAGAGAGAAAGTGCATCCTTCAGGTTTGCACAAGCTGATGAGGAATATGTAAATGACGTGGGGGCTTATGAGATTACCACTTGTTTGATAGTTATTACAGGTGTTAGTAAACCAGAATTAGGAGTCCAGTTAATGCTGGTCCATTCAGACCCTGATCGATCCCTTAATACAGGCATTTGTGGTCATGTTTGCTTCCCTGAATTGTGCTGTGGTGGGTCCACACTGTGTACTCAATATTCAATGTTTCACTTATTTTCCGACTTTTCTTTCCATTTCTCTGGCCTCTGAACACAATGACACAACGTACCTGGAAACCTTCAACTCAGTTGCATATATGTCATGTTTTTACATCCAGATGCAAAGAAGACTGGATTTGACCTGATAAGAACAGTTCCTCTGTGAAAGCATCCTTCTTATATTTCCCTGCTTTCTCTCACTTTGGAAGCTGCGCTCGCAAGTTAAAGAAGTCATTAAGCTTATCCAGACGCAACAAAAGAAAGATTTTGCAACGGCAAACAGGAGTGTCAAATCAAACAGAGATTTGCCAAAGAGGCTTTGGCGAGTTGGTGAGGTCCATACCAATTTGGAGATTTCAATGCTCTCTTTTTACTCCTGAGAAAATCACTGGACTTGTTTGAAGAAGACAAAAGCACTAAATATGAAGAGAACAACTCAAGAATGTTATGTAAGATTCTGCGAAACATTCCTCAGAGTGAAACAAAGTGGAATGTTGAAACTTGCAACAGTTTTTAGTGAAACTCACTACGGATTTATGTGCAGTTGTGAAGGCAGCCGGGTTTGCAAAGAAAATCTTAACGAAACAAGTCTATCTAGAACAATTTGGCCAGAAAAAAATGGAAACTAAACTGATGTATCATTTACATTGATAAAACGTCTTTTTTTTTTTTTATATGTCTGAATTCAAATTTCTCTGTCTGGATCTGCAATTGTCAGGACCATCTGACTGTGAATATCCTGTGAGCCAATCAGTTTAAGGCAATAAAACAGCATGTACTGCAGGAACTCAAGTAAAATCACATTGCTAAACTGCAATTTCCTTCACCTGGACAGAACACCGATCCAACATTTGTTAAAAAAGTTAAGGCAAATTACTGAGCAGATCGCCAGCCAGACCACATCTTTCTTCAAGAGTATCTAAAATCTCACTCTTAATTGTACTATAATAGATAATTACAAGCTTTTAGTGAAAAAGAAAAAGAAAACATTTAATGTCAACTTAAAGCCAGCCTTTTTACTTCATGAAGCAATAGCTGTGTGAGAATGAAGTATTTATTATTCAGATCCGTGTGATCGTAATTACTGTGAAAATGCTTCGCAAACTCATGAGAAAACCCACTTAAATAGTCTTAGAATAGATGGCTTAAGAATTATGAATTCAAAAGACTTTCTCTGCAGGATCCGCGCTGACATCGCCCTCTGCTGGAGGCCAAACGACACTTGATATAACGTACCTTGAGGACGTTTTCATATTAGCACTAAATAAGCACAAGAAGTGTGTTATTGTTTTAAGATTTGATGGGGATGAGAATTTACCACTCCTTTCAGGCTTATTTGGGGGAAAAACACTTTCGGTGGGATAACAATAACTTATAATTGGTTTTAATTGTTTATTTGTAATGTTCAGATAAGTTCAAAGAGTTTAATAAAGTGCAAAAAAAAAAAAAAAGGCACGGAAAACGAACGAATCACTGTAGATAGATAACTAAAAGAAATAAATAATATTTAGTTCAGATTAGACGTTGTAAAGGCTAATCCTGATAAAAGTTCTTCATATTCATATTCATATTCATGATGAAATGTTGTTTGTTGTTGAAAATACACAGAAACAAACATGAATATAAAGCTAACATTTGAAACTTGGTAGATATGCTTTAATTCGATTTTAAAACACTTCTTTCTCATAAATATTAAGATTTAAATTGGGTGAATGCGCTATTCAGTGTGCTTGTAAGTAAGCAAATAATCTCTCTCGCGCGGCCAAAACAAAACTGTTCCCTTGAGAAAAATGCTAAACACCATGTCATTTCAACTCTATTGCACCGTTTTAAAATTGATTGTGTTCCGCAACCTGAGGCGAATTAACGCTATGCATTTAAACGTTTTCAATGGTATGTCGGTTTCTTGTGTTCCTCTTGTTCCAATGTGACCAACAACACAAGCCCGGTCATTGTAACAAGGCGCTATTCCTCCCTAGAAAAGACCAGGAACGATGGGAATTTAAGAAACGAGTATTATTTTGGAGGTGCCACCTATTTGCTGCTCATAAAAACAATATTTAGGTTGTGCTTGAGCGTTACCTCGCTGAATAGGCCCTATTCATGTGGGGTTAAGAGTGTAGCGTGGGTCCTGTGAGGAGGTAGCGTGGGTCCCTGTGTTTTGGGGAGGAGCTGTCAGGGCTTCGGAGGAGCGGGAGAATAGGGACCCGCCAGAGTCTCTTGCTTGGGTTCGAACTGCGGTGATTTAACTGCATAATCGGATTGAAAGTGAGC